ACGAAGGGTGCAGCGTCTTTACCCCCTGTTCGGACGGCCGTTAGATAACTCATTTACGTGCACTTTAAATTGCCGTAGGGGAACAACTTTTTACAGTTAAAACGCGAACCTTGAGTCCGATGAAGCTGTAGAAGTCAAAAGACTAACAGCACAAATATCATTAGAAACCAGGGTGCAGCGTCAAAGGTGCGAGATTGGTGGACGATGATTGGCAATTCGCTTGCCATGCGAGAGAGAAGAGAGAGAGAGAGAGTGTGAGAGTGAGAAAGAGAGAGAGAGAGAGTGAGAGGGTTGTATTAGAAGAAGAAAATATAATTTTATATAATATGAGGGAGATATTAAGGAACTTTATAATAACATAAACAAAAGAATTGAGCACTTGTTTAATTAATGTATAAAAATGTAAAAATCTACCCGAATATCCAAACAAAAAACAAATTCTATAAAAATACTAAATCAAACAACGCGGCGCGAATTAAATATGTAATAGTGGTTTTCATTCATTAATATTTAATCTTAATTTCTGAAAAATGTTTTCATCCGAACTAATGGAACAGCAAGTTCAAAATTCTTTGCTAGAACGATTTTACTACTTTCAGTTTTCAATACTAGGGGTCATACAGCCTATTTAATAGCATGGTTGTCGTATATGTATGTAGATAAAAATAAGAACTAAAATAACAAAATGATTGTCGATTGATAATGACACGATATTTTTAGACAGAAAAATTGCGAGCAATCAAATGCCATTATCTGCTTGCACGTGGAACTTTTCTATTAGCCTTGAGGTTTGCCAACTGATGAAAGGAGAAATTATTAAATTCACTTTTTGCTTATAAATTTCGCAGATTCCACGCGTATGTTTTCAATATGTACCATACATTGATTAAATATATGGTATATGGCAATACGAAATACTAAAATGCAATATGAAAGTCAAAAGGTTTATCGAGCAAAATATTTCTGCAGAATGTTATTAACGTATTGAACTGAAAACTTTTATTATTATTATTAATGTGACTTTTTGTAAATCTTTCTCTATAATTTGTATATTACTAATTGAAAAGATTTTGTCGCATTTAATCTCTTTTTTAATTCCTGACATTTCGAGTGCTTTGCAGCACCCATGCTCACGGGGAAACTGAGATATTTGACGTCTCATCTTTGTCTATAGATATTTTTTTTTAATTATTTTGAATAATAGATTTATTATAAATTTCTTTAATTTTTTTACATTATTTAAAAAAATACGTGAATTCGCACGTTGCCTTTCAAGAGATTGGTGAATTAAAATTATTCTTGAACCATCGTATCAATTATAATATACAACTATAGGAAAAAGAACTAATTAAATGTTATTAATTTTACCTACCTATTTATTGGGAGCCTTTGATTATTTGCTAGCAATTTCAATAATTCTTTGCCACCATTTTGGTAAGTAAGCAACGTTTCGCTTTTTTACATGACCTTTTAAATATAGAACTAATAAAACATTTCAAATACGAAATTATAAACTACTCACGACCTCCCGCAGCTTCGTTAGCGTGGAATTGGAAATAGCGGCATTTTTGTTTATAGTTGCTCCTTTAGAAACATTAGCTAACAAGATAAATTTGTCAATTATATCATAGAGAAATATGGCAACTTTAAAGCAAAAACATATATCTTCTTTATTACCAATCCCTTGGAAATTTTGAAAAATTCTTCCTTATTATCTTGTCTACATTATATAGGCTGTGCAAAATTTCAGCTTTCTAGGTTCAAGGGTTTGAGCTGGACGTTGATGAGTCGGTGAGTGGATCGGGACTTGTCTTTATATAAAGAAGAAACAGATATTAAAAAAAAAAACTTAATCAGGTTTGATTTATTAATGGAAAAAGCGCTTAATAAATAAACGTAAAAAAATCTCCTATTTTGTAACTAACAAAAAGACCGTATATGCAGATTAATTTTGTTATAGAACGCGTTGAAATCTAATCAACGCATCTCACTCCTTTTAACAGCACAAAATAAAATATTTCGTATTTTAAAAAAGTTTCGTTACTTTAGCATGTACAAGTACTATAAAATGCTGACGTAATTAAACTTTTCTAGCAAGGTATTTCTGGATAATTTATTAACCTTTTTGATTTCGCTTTAACTTTCTAGCCCTGAATATCAACGATAAAATATTATAATAATTCATTGTAAGCTAACTCGATTTTGATGTTTTACGGCTCTAGCTTAAGTTCTGTTGTTATTTCTTTTTTAAATTAATTGTTTATGCATTTTTTTGCGCCGTGGTAGCTCAGGGGCTTAGTGCTCGTTGTAAATTTCACAGTACGCGAGCAACCCGGGTTCGACTCCTGCCAGCACCAAACAAATTGTAAATTGCAATTTTAAGTTCTGATTTACAACGTGCACGGTGTAGAAGGAAAAAATCGGGAGGAAACCTTCATGTCTGAGAAATAAAAAAAAATATTGCTGTGAAGTCCGCCAACACGCATAGGGGCAGCGCGGCGGACACTTTCATACCCTCAAACCCAAAGAAGTGAGAGAAAGCCTGTTCCCGCCAGTAGGATATATAGGCTGTAACGTTAGTTTTTTTTTTTACTTTTATGCATTTTGTTTATATTTGTTGATTTAAAAAAGAAAGTATTCTCCAAATCAAATGTTTTTCCTTTTTATCTATTGAAAAACATAATTTACTTAAAAAGTAGTTTCTTTGCTTTTTTTTTTTGAAAAATACTAGTAATGCTATTAAAGAAATGCTGTAAACACTTCTGGTAAGCTTAAAATGCTTGTGTTAGAAGTGGTTCACGACAGTAGTCAAATGGCGGATTCGAACCCACGACTTATCGAGTTCGCGGTCCGCACCCTGCCATTAGGCTACTGACGCTTTCTTAATTGATGGTAGAACTCTTTTTCTGTTTAGGAGTCTATCTGGGTAAGTACCACTACTGCAGTACATCACAGCAGTGCAATGTTCCGGTTTGAAGGGTAAAGAGAGCCAGCGTAATTACAAACCGTGAGGCATTCCATCTTAGTCCTCAGAGGTGACGACAATTTATCTGTTGCTTTCTTCGTTTGTAGTTACCTGCAGATGTCCATGGACTTCAAAGTTACCATCAGGTGGATTGTAAGTTTGTTTGTCACTTCAGTTATATAAAAATATATAACTTATAATGAGTAACTGTTACTAATTATCAGAAAGTCATTGTACTTATTGGAAATGAAAGCACTAACAACTACTTGTCAACTACTTGTCAATAACAGTAACTAGCTAGGTATTTATGAAGATTAATTTATAAGAAAGCTAGTGAGTTATTTGATTATTTTTATTTATTAACGGTATTTTATAACTGTTATGAATACGAGACTTTTATAATCTTCTTTAGGCCTTCTTTCAGATGATTGCTAATTTTCAATGGCATTTGTATTTATATATTTTTGTAGAATACGGGTGACAAATGAACTCACAGTTCATGTGATAATTGAATAGAAACTGTGGCTTATTCGCATCTACGTTTATCTTCTGTTATGTTTATATTAATCAAAATACATATGCTTTGTCATTCCTGAGGTCCAAGATGGAATGCCTCAATTGCAATAAAAAGGGTATTTGGTTCTCTACACTCACCTCACGAAACACGGCAGCATTAAGCTGCTATTTTACGCTGGAATTCCGTGAGAGCATGGTCTTTCTCTGATCAAGCTGCCCCATTCGTACAACTACAATATATATGTACCACGCATAGCTCTACTACGTAAAAAAGTATGTATACGTAACAGCGAAACCAGTAATTAAAAGATAACCTGATCTAAGTGAATAAAATTAACTTTAAACTAAAAGGTATACTACATTTACATCTACAGCTATAATTCTATTTTAATACGGAAAGCGACGTCTCTTGATCATTTAATAAGGAAAATGCGAAGCCAATAATAACGTTACCTCGCCGTAACCTAATCAAGACAACTAGCATGGAAAAGAATTTGAAGTAGCTGCTAGATATGCGCTGCTATCAACGTTGAAAATAATTTATCAAATTCGCAATGAACTTCGTGTGGGTATTTCAATAAGAGGCTGTTATCTTGCGTGACAATGGGTCATATCTTTTTATAGCGATCGTAAATTTTTAACGTAATAATTAAAAAAAAATATTAAGTTTGAATACATACAATAATAAAAAGATACGTTTCTATTCTAAAATGAATTTGTTTGAAATTGATATTTTTATTTAGCGTTGCAAATTGTAAATCTCTTAAAAGCATAAAGCATCATAAAGATTATTTTTATTTCTTGCTAGCTGGCAGACGATGTTCTGCTGTTCCCCGTAGGTAAAGCGATGACTTTCAGTCCGAATTTAATCTGAATTTTTTATATTGTAAATATAACATTTATTAAAAACTTGAACACAGCACCCAATATAAACTTAAATCCACTACTAAACATTAAGCCTCCTCCAAAAAAAAAAAATACGCAAAAGCTCAATAATACGGCATAGTTTAGGTGACACGGAACACAGGCAACACAACTAGATCTGAAAATTAGCAATTTGTATGATTCATAAATAATTTCGGTTAAAATTAGAATTTATGACATATAAATCATTGTTATGCTCGATGTTAAAATTTTCATATTCGGGTATATATTACAATCTCGCCACTACGGATCTTGGGGCTAATTCCAATCGGAGGTAATACGAGTATTTTAGAAAAATCAATAATATCGTTATTCCGGAATGTATTATGTAACACTTACTCTAGCCTAAGACATAAATATTAGCTACTCTATCTAAGGTGCGAACATACCTGAAAATAATCTTCCTGTATTTTATTTTATGCTATCATAATCATTTCATCATTTCACTATCCGTCGCATGAAATACTAATAGACTTACAAAATTATCTCTATAAGGTTTAAAAATTGGTCATTCATTATAAACAAAAGTGTTTCAGATGTTTTGAAGCTTTTTTCGAATAATATAAAATATAAAACGATGTTCAACAGTTGCAGAATGATACGAGCCGGGAGAGTGGTCGTAATTGCAGTCGCAGCTGTGCTGGTCTGCTGCAATGCTGATCCACAGAGGGTAAGATGAGGTTTCATTTTTTATGGAATAAGGATGAGAAACGAGCGTACAGTCCACCTGATGGTAAGTGAATGCTATGGCCTATAGACATCAACATTTACCCTCAATTAGGAATCAAAACGCAGATTCATTGTCGCTCTAAGGCCTCGCCTCTGAGGTCTAAGATGGAATGGTTCCAGTAAAAATGGTCTCCGGTTCTCTACACTTCTGTACGAAATACAGCAATATTAAACTGATATTTGAAATTTTACTCTAGTATTCTGTGAGAACATGGTCCCACCCCGGTCGAACCGACCCATTCGTACTACAGCCATAATAGAGCAACAGAATAAATTTTCACTGATAGGCATAAATTAAACTGAATAGGATTTTTTCTATATTATAATCGTAACGCTTGACACTCATATTGTAAATCAAAGTAAAATGTTTTGACGGGTCAGTTTAGTGTCTAAGCTTTTGTCTGCGACGCTGTAGCGTCACATAGGGTCGAATTCCACATAGACCAAATATTTGATATAGCCAACAAATAATTGTGATCCAGGAAATTCGTTTGTGAAATGTCTCCTAAACACAGGAGACAAAACTCCACTGCCGCATTTCAGGTGTCTACGTCACCATTTCGGATGTTTTACACCAGAATTATTTTTTTGACATTACGTCCTCCGTAGAAGGTGGTGGCATATTGTGACTAGATTAGAGGCTAATAATCCATTTTATAAAAATAATTTAATCATTGAAATGATGATTCTATTTTTAACACTCGATATAATTATTATAATAATATATATTAAGCTAGCTAGCCGTCAAGACAGCATTATAGAGCAAGAGTGTGAGCTCACAGTCATAGAAACGGCAATCCGGAGAGAGATCAGGTGCATAATCAACGGGTTTACGCACTTTCCAATGCACGAGGATGATACACCGCTAACTTTCTGCTACTGAGAATTTCTTTGCAAAAAAAACCCAATTACTGAGTTTAGCCCCACCTTGGTTTCGAATTGAGAACCACTTGATCAGTTGAGGACCACTTGATCAGCAATCTTGCTTACGACCAATAGACTAACGAGTCATCCACTGACTCACTGCATACATCATCTTTTTTTATTCCAAGACTCACCCAGACCCAGTTTACACCGTAATACTATGTTAAAGCCTATTTAAAATGCTTTGTCATTTGTACAAAGATAAAAACAGCGGTAACATAATGCTACTTTATTTTCCTTCAATACCATTCCTAGAGATATTTGAACAGAGTACCCTGTAGAGTGGAAATACATTAAGAACTTAAGCTTCCAATTAAATGTTTAATCGTTTCGAATACAAAATGAATTTTTCAATAAATTTCAAAATAATATTTAAAAAAGTAAGGAGGCTTAAGTAAGCTTTCCTTCTATTTACTCTTAATTATTGTGGTTTTGTCCTTTATAAAATATATTGTTATTTTGTACCATATATTGCCGTCAACTTATTTTAATACAGTGGATAATGTTAACGTTTATTAATATTAACATTATCCACGGCCCCAAATCGTCCCGTTAGTGTTGTAAGAGGCAATAGAAGGAAACTAACCAGGAGATGGGCAGCAACGTCTTCCTAATAACAATTCAAAATAACAAAACTTGCCTGCCGAACGTGGCAACTACAACAAAAAATATCCCTCCTAGGCCAATGTTCAGCAGTGGGTTTTGATAGGCTATGATGATGATGATGATGTCCCATGTTAGTCTGAGACTCATAGGCCCCATATTTATTTGGGACTTATACAAAAGATGCCAAATGCGTTACTTGCCTAGCATGTCATAAAAGGCGACTAATGTGATATTGGGTTTGTGATAGGTTTGTTATATTAATTAAATTATGAATAGCTCCTAAATAGGTAATATAGCTTTGTGACCACGATCAATTAACAAACATTAGTGACCGTTAACAGATTTGACTCAAATTACATATACTTGGACAATTGTTCGTTCAACCAATTACAATTTTGCAGTTCGCTAACCAGACTCATTCAACCAGACTTTAGAGCAAATTACATTACTTATTAAATAAGCAAAATGTGAATAAAATAGTTTTAATAAAAATTAAACTAATTCTTGCGGATTTTAAATTTCAACAGCTAATTTTAAATTTCTGCCTTGTACAAAATACGATTAGTTTTTTTTTTAATATAGAATAAGGGTGACAAACGAGTAAACAGTGCACCTGATGGTAAGTGGATGCTGTGGCCCATGCGCATGTACATTTATCCTCGATTAAGAATCACACATGAGGACTAAGATGACGACTTAATGGAATCCATTTTTTTCTGTTTAAAAAATGTTAACTAAACGTTGACCCCGTAACATTTTCTGTATTGTTGGGGCGGATTTCATACATAAATTGGACATGGACAAACGTAGACCCTACAACTTATTCCGTACCCAACTCGAACCCTTCGCTTAGCAATTAGTCTGCGGCGCTGCGAGGAGACTAATACTAAGCCATTGCGCTACCGAGTCATCAAATTAATTTTATTCATTGTAGTTTTCGCATAAAAAGAAGAAATCATTAATTATTTGTTAGTTATAGAAAAGTCTTTCGAAGATACTAAACATGAAATTTATCTGAAATACAGGAACAAGATGGGAGCGTAAGTGAACACAGCTCTGACCGCTACGATGCTAATGGTAAGGATTACACACTTCAATTATGTACATTATAAGCACATTAATACTACAATATATTTGCACATTGTGAATGCTCCTCAAGCACATGTCTGTTAATCAATGTTTATAAAACATCTCACATATTTTCACATAACTTTTTTTTTAAATATATTATGATTCTATGTATTCGGTCAATACTTCGTGTCGTCTATACAAATCCCATATGCACCTATTTTTACACCAAAAACGATAATATTGAATTTTGTTAGTATTATGAAAACTGCACATACTTTTAATTTTTATGTACGATTTATTGTCACATTTTGTGGTGGTGGTAGCGCACTTTTCACTTAATTTGTCTGCACACGACGATAAATCACATGTTTTTGTGCACTGTACGTCCCCTGCACATAACACACGGTAAGTAACATTTCCTTTTAAATTAATTAAATGGACTTTTTATTCTTCTAATTATCTTAGATGATGCCACTTTTGTTACAGATTATAGACAAAGAGAATTACAAAACTTTTTGAGGTTCCTCTGGCAAAAAGAACACAGAAATGGGGACACAAAAATTAACGGTATTGGTGGAAGCACATTGCTGGGTAGAAGCACCATGTTAGGAAGAAACATTAATGGTTTCAGTGTGCCAATATCTGGAGAAAGTTATGAAAAAAATCCAGACAGGAATCTTAATGGTATCGGCGGTTCTACACTTATAGGAAGAAGTTTTAATAAAAATTTAAACGGAATAGGTGGATCTACTATATTAGGCAGGAATGCTGAAGAAGAAAGTAACGTATATGCTCGATTCGTAGATCCTCTTGGTGGCAGCAACTTTGTCCGTAACTTGGACTCTCTTGGTGGAGGGAATTTCGTTAGGAATCTTGATTCACTGGGCGGGAGTAACTTCATCAAAAGAAACTTAGATCAAATTGGAGGACCTAACCTTGTTAAGAGAAATTTAGACTCGTTAGGTGGCGGAAATTTCGTTCGAAATTTAGACCCTCTTGGTGGAGACAACTTTGTGCGATCTCTTGGCGATGAAAACTTCATTTAAAACTGTCTCTCTGATAAATCTTAATAAATGAACAGCGTACAGAATGTGATATAAATTATTTGTTTGAAATTTATTTATTCATCTGTGTTGGTGTATGTATGTTTTAAATTTTTAAAATAGATATCTTGCAAGTAAGAAACTATCACCATTGTTTTATTTTACCTTTAAAACATTATATTTTCCTGATAGAACTTGATATTTATCACTAAAAAAACACGAACTTAAAAATGAACAATGGTTTGAAAGACTCTACTACTGCTTTTGTCATAAGAAAAATGAGGTAAGAAAAAATAATTTAATGTGCTTTATGCCTTTCTTATACTGTATAATAATTATATTTAATTTTCTTTAAATCGCGCTGTACAGGTCACAAAACAAGGAACCTGGACCCTCTGGGCGGAGATAACCTTGTACGTGAAGTGCGCGAATCCAGACACTCCAGTTTCTTTCCATATTTTACAGGGCGCCGGTACAACTTCTTGGGGTAATTTCTCATTCTATTTTTATGGAGTTGTTTGATTTCATTTAAAAAAAAGTTTGTGTTCTTATAATATCCATCAAATTTGTCTTTTTAATTTAAATTACACTTTGTTTTAAAGTTTTATGTTTATTGATAAATTAGTAATAAAACTTTGATGAGTTGTTATGTAAACATCCGCGAATGTTTCTAATAAAAACAAAAAAGGTATTGTAATAAAAACAAAAAGGTTTGTACGTGGTAGAGCCATGTTGCAGCTATATTTCGGGTATAGTTGTAGCACGAATGGGTCGGCTCGACCGGGGAAGGACCACGCTCTCACAGAATACCAGCGTAAAATAGCAGCTTAATGCTGCTGTGTTTCGTATGGTGAGTGTAGAGAGCCGGAGACCCTTTTTACTGGAAAAGAGGCATTCCATCTTAGTCCTCACGGGTGACAACGCATCTGAATTTTGATTCGCAAACGAGGATAGGTGTCTATGGGCCACAGATACCACTTACCATCAGGTGGACTGTGTGCTCGTTTGTCACCCTATTCTATATAAAAAAAACTCATGCTGGCCACAACTAGTTTTATCTACAAAAATGTAATTAAATATCAAAATGTAAATAAACATGTTATTATTACAACATCCCAATAAATAAAGAGCAGCGTTAGTTTAAAATTGAATACTCCTTTATCGTTCAAAGCGAGCAATCTGAGATCGGATCCCCACAGGCTTTTAATTAATGTTTACCAATTGCTCAGTAGTGAAGGAAAATCTCCTAATAGTTCAAGATTACGTGAAATCTGCCAACACACATTGGAGCAGAGCGAAGCACATTTTCTGCTCTTTATGTTACTTTACTTTTAATTAACTGTACGATGGCGAGCGGTGGTCACTTATAGTAATCTAAGCCGAATGCTTGTTTGACATCTTCTATAAAAGAAACAAAAAAACATCGTCATGTCTGCTTTTTTATTTTCTTTATCAAGTTTAATGAAATAAACGTTAAATATAATTGATTTTCAGCATCATATACACTTTTTACGATCAAACAAAATAGAAATAATTTAATTTTTTGACTTTAAAGTAACGTATTTTGCTTTCGTAAGATTGTAACTGGAAGTATTTTTTACCAGTCCTTATGGGAGTTCCAGGCATCAGCTGTGGCCAATGATGTCCTCTGAATATTACCGAGATGACTATCCTAAGCGTAATTTCGACGAAATCGATCGGTAAGTAATACAATAGTTTATCTTAACTATATAATAGTTTTAAATTCTAATACAGATTCAGAATAGGCAAAGACCTGTTTGGCTATTCAATATATATATATGTAATCTTGTCGTAATTTGGTACCTAACTATAATCGGCCTATGTTCGATTATGTGGGGGGAATAATTCTATTGAACATATATCAGACATCAGAATCTCACCAAATAAGGTTTTAGAATTGCTGCATAACATCTTCAAACATACATATATATATCAGTAGTATAGTTGTAGTACGAATGGGTTGGCTCAACCGGGGAAGGATCAAGCTCTCACAGAATACCAGCGCAAAATAGCAGCTTAACACTGCTGTGTTTCGTATGGTGAGTGTAGAGAACCGGATACCCTTTTTATTGGAAAAGAGTCTGTGGCGGCGCTGTCGTCGCGCCACAAGCGAAACACATCGAAGCCTAAATCGCACTAACAAAGTTCCGAAGTTAAAGCAGCATATATAGAATAGCTCCGAACTACCAATCGGAGCATTGGCCGCTCCCCGGGCAGAACACCTTGCCCGGCGGGAGATCTCCCCTTTTCCTTTCACCGCCACAGTGGTGACCCCGACGTGATATGAATACGTTACCAATAACCTTCGGAACTACAACTTCAAAACTTTCGTCATCGTTCTCAAATACCCCATTCATTCGCTCCCGAGCAAATATTGTCTGCAGTATTCACATTCTGCAAGCCATCTAGCTTTACAAAGGTTCATCGCAGCACTGGAAAAATAATGCTTTCTGTTCCTTCAAGCTACTCTCTGCGCTACAGTGTTCAGCACGGCTCTGAGTCTTACTGCTCGCCTCTGCTTCACGGCACTCTCGCAGATTACTTGCCTTCTTCTCGACTCACCGTAGACTACAAGGCAATTCCCTGACACTTGCAAAATTCGTCGACATCTAGACTGCACTATCGATCTCCGGTCTGAGCAGGGGGGTGATGTGGCGGCGCTGTCGTCGCGCCACAAGCGAAACACATCGAAGCCTAAATCGCACTAACAAAGTTCCGAAATTAAAGCAGCATATATAGAATAGCTCCAAACTACCAATCGGAGCGTTGCCCGCTCCCCGGCCAGAACACCTTGCCCGGCGGGAGATCTCCCCTTTTCCTTCACCGCCAGAAGTCATTACATTTTAGACCTCACGGGTGACAACGCATTGAGAATAGATGTCTATGGGTCACAGCAACCACTTACCATCAGGTGCACTGTGTACTCGTTTGTCATCTTTTCTGTGGGAATTATAAACAATTTTCATTACAATAGAAATTAAGAACAAAATTTTTAATGTGGTAGGCATGCACCTAAATCTTTAATGCAAGTTGTTAAAGTGTGCAATATTCTTGTTGTATCAATTATTATGCGTATTATAATATATTAAATTTGTCAGATCGGAGTTGGACAGCTTTGTGGGAAAACGTAACTTGGATGAGATCCAGCCCTTCCCGTACGCCAGCAAGCGTGCTTATAACAGCCGCCCTGGATCCAACTACCTTGACGCACCTGTGTAAGAGTTTTGTTTATGTTTTACATTTTTTTTACATGTTTTACATTTCATGGAAAAGAATGATTTATATTATATTTATGTAATACAAACAAATTAATAGACACATATCAATTTCAACGTTACTTTCATCAATTTTATATGTCTGAGCGTGAGGGTCACGCGAGGTCAGTGCTTTCCAAAATTCTAACCAACGATTAGTGAAATAATTTGTCAGTGCCTATCTTTCCGTAAGATTACAAACTGGGTGTCTTCAAGGTAAGAGAGAATAGGCTTTTATTAAGCTAAGACAATGTGATTTACCATCTAACTATCTGGGGCTTCATCACCGCTTACCGCCGGGTGAGAATGCAGTACGGACTTATAAAAAGTTACATACATATATAAAATAAGTCGAATTCAAATTAAATATTACATTTATCAATGTATTAATTAGTTTAAATATAATTAAAGATGTGCTATACTGTAGGTGCTAGGTAGGTAAATCAAATCCTAATGCCGGGGCCACACAGATTGCGTTATCGCGATGTATGTGGCAACACATTCGTGAATACTTCTAAATATTATATTTCCAAATTTTGTTTCAATCTTGTTTGATATTTTACTTCTTTCAAACGTATTTCAGGTAGAATATCTCGGTTTGATCTTAATAAAGTTTATGTTCTCTTTACAGTGAAAACTTAGATATAAAGAGGTACAGACCAGACTACCCCATGGACGAGATCGATCTCTCCCATTTTCCCATCGGCTCCAAGAGGTCCATGGTAATGAATCAAAATCGGCCCCTGCGTTAATAATCCAACTATTTAATAACTTAAGCTAAACAGCAATCCTTGAACAAAGTATGTCACTACTACTAACTTCTGCTGTGCGGGTAATAAGTTTTGTTTTTAAAAACAATTAATTTGAAAACTTTTTGAAAAAAAAAAGGTGTCACCATGTATAAATTTGTAATATTATGTCCTAGCATCAGATTTACTATTTTAAGAAAAAAATAATTAAAATTGTATTTAGTCATTTAAAAACTTGTTACTTAAATTTAAATGTCTAGTATCATAAAAATTATATAAATGTTAAGGAGAGTACTTAATCTCATTTTAATTGTTATAAATTATAAATTATAAATATTTATTGTTAATAATAAATAAAAAGGATCTGTAATGTTATTTACCTTTTAATATTTTACGGTAACGTTAAAATATTCTTTGTACTTAGTGTTATTTTTATTATATATATATATATATATATATAAATAAATAAAATTATAATATTTATTTGTTAGTTAGTTTTGATTCACTACCTCATAAAAGAACTTATTATACTTACTCTAAAATATACTCATTATTTATATTTTTCAAACCATCTTTTTGTACATAATTCTCCGAAAATTTTTATTTCACAGAAATGCCGCTGAGCACTTGGTAAATTAGCACTTTCATTTGATTTGACTGCTAATATCAAATTTACTTAGTTGTACAACAAAATTAAATCTAACAAATTGTTAAATCTTTCTCTTTAAAGTGCAATTAAAAATATTAATAATAATAATGAAAATCACTCTTCACCTGAACTCAAATCAGGTAATGTCGCGCGCTCAAAATGGGCAAATCGGGGTGGTGGTCGTGGAACCAAGGAATCACTCCTCATTGACGCGGTCATTGGGAAGGCGGTTAAACGCAACCGTCAGAACCTCTCCGCTGCCTGAATAGACTACAAAAAGACATTCTACTCGGTGCCTCATACATAGTTGAAGTGGGTTCTCGAGTTATACAAGGTTGACTGTAAAGTTAGAGACTTCCTCAGGCAGAGTACGAGGCAATGGAGTACGATCCTTTGTCATTTAGGTGAGCGGATGATGGCTGCGGAGAACCACATAAGGATAAGAAAGGATATCTTCCAGAGCGATTTTCTGAGTCCACGCTGGTTCTGCCTCTCTATAACCCTCTCAGTACCATAATGGAGGGTTCCGGGATTTCAGCTTCTGAAAGGAGGTACAAAAGTGACCCACCTTTCTATGTCTCAAGTCAGTCGCTCACGTCTTGTGGAATTGCTAAACATGTGTGATGATGATGATATGATTTTAGCAATTCTATTAGAATAGAGCTGGGGACGGATAAGTGTACGGTCCTCCATGTCGAAAGGGGTAGGCTTGCTAACTCTGAGGGCATAGACTTATCTAATGTAATAATATCATTGATTAACCAATAATTATAATTAAAATTTAAGGTATAGTTTAAAAAAAATAATTTTAATTTTGTAATGGATCTGTGTTGTCTGTATCAAATAAATTATTATTATTATTATTATCTATGCCCATCGACATAAGGACCCTATCCGAGGCTGAAACATACCGTTTTCTGGGTATGTCACAGAACATAGGTATCGATGAGGTGGACATGAAACAGTCAGTGTGCGATGTGTTTTATGCACACGTGTTTTATCGCTCTGGGTAGAAAAGTCTGCACTGTTATGGTGTCCCACAGGATGCATCGCCCACAATCGTCAGTAATGAGGCTGTACTTGCCGCGGAAACATGGTGGGCGCGGCTTTTTGAGCGCTCTCACCATGCATAATCGCGAAGTGTGCAGCCTCCTTAATTACTTCCTGGTGAAATTCGATGATTCAATCTACAGGGACGTCATTTCTTGTGATAAAAGGCTTACTCCTCTATTCTCAGCCAACGAGCAATGGCAAGACCCAGCAGTATAGTGCATTTCCGACCGGGAAACCGTATGGAAGGAGAAGGAGCTCCACAGAAGGTTCTACAAGGCTCTACATGAGCCTTTCGTAGATACAGTTGCCTCCCTCCACTGGTTTTGTTTCGGGGACCTCTTTGGGGAAACTGAGAGTTTTGTCTGTGCGATACAGAATCAGGTTATTAAGAGCAGCAATTATTGGAAATACACCCTAAAGGCCTTCGACATCTGTCGTGCTTGTCGCCATCCCGGTGAGTCACGTAGGCATGTCATCTCCGGTTGTTCGGCGCTTGCTAACTCTAAGTATTTGCACAGACACAGCCTAGTATCCAAGATTTTACACCAGGAGCCGGCTCTAAAATACGGTCTCGTGGATCGGAAACTGCCATATTATAAGTACTTGGTGGAAGTCGTGCTCGAAAGTGATAGTTCCAGGCTTTACTGGGACGGGGCCATCATCACAGACAGGACTATTCTTGCGAATAAACCTGATATTCTGTTGATTGTCCGGGCGCAGTGAAGGATATTTTTGTTCGACATTAGCATTTCATAAGAAATGCTAATGTCGAACAAAAATTTTTCTCGTCATATCGAACAAAAAATTGTCTCGTCATAAGACGAGAACGTCGTGAAAGCTTAAACAGATAAGCGAACAAAATATCTGAACCTGGTTCACGAGGTGACCCACATGTGGGATGGTCTGCCGACCGAAATTATTCCTGTAGTCGTTCCTGCAAACGAGCTAATCCCAGTCAGCCTCACATGTCATTTGAAGCGACCGGGACTCCGTGACGGACCGCTCCGGGCTCAAATGGCTGTAGGCGGTGCTCCTCGATACCGCCCGCATAGTTCGCTGGTTTCTTTCCTTTTCCCCCTATCCTTCTGCCGTTTGGTCTGCCCTGCCAAGGGCTTCCATCTGGTTGGGCTTCAATTTACTTATGTATTTTTATGTATTTACTTTATTTTATTGATATTTATGTATATCTATCATTTTCATTTACAATTACAATTATATATTTATGCCCAACCAGATGGGAAAACTATATAGATACCCCAAAATAATAATAATCGTTTATTTCGGACCATGATCCATACAGGTTAGCTGCATATTCTTAAAATATGTTATAACAACATTAACTAATTATAACTAAATTAATTCATATACCGCTGCTCACTCCCCACTGCACCAGACCCGCAGCAGTGCATACGTGCATAGTGTTGCAGGAACGGGCAGTCTGGTTTCTCCACAATAACTCTCAGGCTGCTGTTGGTGCTCCCCCGATCCCGTACATATAATTAACCAAGTCAAAGGTCTTAAAAATGCAGCATACACAGGTGTATTTGTATCAGTGCAGGACCTTTTGTTCGTGGTAGAGCCATGCTGCAGCTATATTATGGTTGTAGCACGAATGGATCGGCTCGACCGGGGAAGGACCACGCTCTCACAGAAAACCAGCGTAAAATAGCAGCTTAACGCTGCTGTGTTTCGTATGGTGAGTGTAGAGAACCGTAGACCCTTTTTACTGGCAAAGAGGCATTCCATCCTAGTCCTCACGGGTGACAACGCATCTGCATCTTGAGTCTTTATTGAGGATAGATGTAGATGTCTATGGGTCACAGTAACCACTTACCATCAGGTGGACTGTGTGCTCGTTTGTCACCCTATCCTATAAAAAAAAACCTGTGTGTTTCAGCGCCAAAATAGCAGTTTCAGCAGACAGGCCAACTCTAAAACCGAATTGAGCATCATGTAAATTGAGCTGTCTAGTCACTCTACGCTAAAGCACACCGTCAAGAACCTTAGTTGTTACAGTAGTAGTAGTTTTGTGTTATATTGGCCTATAATTGTCCCTTTCTGAAGTATCACCGATCTTATTCTTAACTATAGTTACAACTATCGTTCTCATCAGTTCGGTAGGGAGATACGAATGTCTTACACACAAATTGAACAGCATTGAAAGTACTCTCTGTAGATGCGGACCCTCATGTTGAAAATGTTATATACTTAGGCTGTCATGACCCTTTGCCCCTGGTCATAGACGTTATAATGCTCTGTACCTCTTTTGCCGAGATGCCCATCGGTTCATCACGCATTTCACTCTCGTCCTCACACTCTCCCCCATCCATTTGAAGTCGTGAGGTTACTCCAATATGTATCATAAACATACCTGCAATCTTCCTAGGTTCAGTCAAGCCATTATTGCTCACCATAGCCGCAAGTTTCGGGCCACCAAAATTTAAAAAAAAATGTTTGTTCCTATGCTCAGTTTCCGAAATATTCATCTTAATTTTTTCCTCAATTTCCTGATAAAATTTTAACCGTTGCTTAAAAAATTTACGCGTTTCTGTCATTTCTAAAAACAGCAGTCCAGAATGAGGTTTAACATACTACACCCAGTTCAGAAAGGCCCTCTTAGCGTTTCCGTGAGCGTCTCTGACATACTTATTCCACCTGATCACTATACGTCGACCCCTATACTTGAATTGGCCTCTGCCGCTTATCGAAGTGAAGTCAAAATATCATTGTACATAGTATCAATTACAGTCCTATGGTCTTTGTTCTGACAGAAATTATCACAACAGTTCCTTAGTTGAGAAGGGAAGTCTATTTCTTTAAGTTTCTCCATACACAACTTGTAGTAACAGCTTATTTGTGCTACATTCCTTTCACCCCACACAAGTTTATCACTCATCTTATTGTTCTGTTTTACTGATATGGATGTCAGCCTAACCATTCCAAGGTTAATCTGGGTAGCAAGTGGATTACTGATTGTCACGTTTCTATAAAATAAAACTTGTATTATTATTTGTCATATTGTTTATTTAAAATTAATATATATGTTTTAAATCTTAACATGGTTAATAATTATTGATGTCGGCGAATATCGAATCTGAGAACACCTACTGTCAACAGTACCCGACTAGTGCTTAGCCACTGAGTTACACCGGCTACATACATACCCGGCCGTAAAAACCTATCGACCTTAATAGTTTTTGTAGAGTCGTCTCCTCCACACGGAGTACTAACTACTCGGAATCACAGTACTTGTTCACTATTAATAATCGCTTTTTTCATAGAACAAGGGTTAAAAACGAGC